CTGAAAAAGTTTTGTGCCAAAATCCAAGCAGGATTTTCAGCCATGGAGGATTTTCAGCCCCAAGCCACAGAATATTTTCAGCCTTCTGAAGCCTCTCCACTCTGGGACTGAAAATCCTCCATGGCTGGAAATCCTGCTTGGATTTTGGCACAAAACTTTTTCAGGCAGCCCCCAAAGCTCAGGGAGCGCTTAGCCCATGGAACTTTAGGGGCTACTTGAAGAAGCTTCACGTCAAAATCCAAGCAGGATTTCGGCACAGGACGTTTAGCGTACAGAGCTTTGGGGATTGACTGAAAATGCCCCAAGCCAAAATCCTGCTTGAATTTCAGCAGAGCTTTTTCAGCCAGCTCCCAGAGAGTCCTCTTGGCAGGCAGCAGTGGCTTGCAACCTTCCCTGCCAGCTTCCCCAGTGACTTTCTGGGGAAGCCGGCATGATTACAATCAGCAATCACGTGATCGCTGGGTGTTTGGCAACTGGTCGTAAGGGCGAACCCATTGCCAAGGGCCCAGATCACCATAACTTCGGATACAGGTCGTAAGTCCCTTTGTTCAGCACAGTCATAACTTCAAACAGTCACTGAACGAATGGTTAAGCAAGGACTACCTGTATAACAAATCCAAAATTGCAAAACAGTTTCTCAGATAGTCTTAAGAACCACAAAAATTAGTTCCTGATGAGAATTTATTATCACCTAATCTCGTAACGTTTTATTAACAGCTACACTGTCAGAAGGTAAAACATCAAAACAGAAGCAGTCTACATTCCAAAAATGCTGACACCAACTTTCTTACCGATTTCTATGGAACGGGCGACCTATACTCAATGCAGCAGTATTTGTCTTGTATGAACCTGGTGAACTGAAGCCATTCAGAAATCCACCATTCGGAAATGGAGCCTAAAGTAAGCACAAAATATATCAAGAGGTTTGCTGCAAACAAATAACTGAATACAAATTCTCAGAACTGCAATTTTAACACCTGTACACCTAAAACCAAGGAAGTATGCTTTCCTGCCTCAATTTCCACAATAATTTTTATTACAATATAACATTGGATTTCTATACACTAGTTGGGGATGTTCTCCAGTTTAGTATTTTTTTGAAGTATTTTAAAAATAATATCAATATAGCAATGCAGTCAAAAGATAAATGCAAACCAGATTATCATTTAAAATAAATACCTGCTCATCAAATAGTCTTTGAAAAACAAACTTTTGTTTTGGAGTCAACAACATTGGGAGTTCAAATATTTAAAGTAGGACAATGCGAACTGCATTTCACTTCATTATAATAATACAGAATCTCTAATAGAGTTCTACCAATAATGAAAAATAGTTGCTTTATATATTTGACAAGCATTAATTTATGCCACTATATATTAACTTCAGAGTAGCAACCTGAATTTGTGAAGAAGACTTTTGTCTTCCAGATAGTCTGCACTGCCTATCTAGCATGGTTCAACACTTCTTGAAACCCCGCTTTGCTATAAGCATAAATACTTTGACAAGCATAAATAATTTGGAATTAAAATGACCATGTGTAATTTCCTGGAATTATCAGTGTTCTACTTCCCAAGCTACAAAGAGTAGAATATGCAATTCAACGCATCAATTAAATGTAATATGAGGGTCAAATGACATTCATTACAGGACAGGGGACTTTGTAATATTTAAGAGACAGATTTCTTTACGCTTTGAAGTAAAGCAAATACTCTACAAAAAACTGTAACTACTTACCAGTGGTGTTTCAAAATAAGGTGCAGGGTTTGGAGACCATGTCTGAGGCACAATACTATAGATGGAGTACTGCTGAGGACTGTATATAGGCTGCATGAACAATGGTGAGGCAAACTGTGCTTGTGTTTGAACCGGCTGAACATAAACACTGGAATCCACTACCCGGTAACCATTCTTCGCAAAAAATGTGTTAATGGCTTTTATCCTGGCCTGTATAAGAAATTTATATTTATCATACCAGGTAGAAAGAACATTACAGGACACAAAATTCATTATTTGAATTTCAGCTATTTCCTAACAAGCCACTCTATATATTTTCTTTTGTTAAAATGTGGGGATCTGCAATTAAAAATGGCAATTCAAACTAACTCTTGAATATTTTTGCAACCAAATTTAGATTCTTTGCTGAATCATTTGGCAGAATGCTCTTGGGAACAACTGTAGTTCAGTTTAATAGATACACTTTTCAATCATTGTCTAGAACAGAAAGATTCCTTCTTTTTTAGTCTCTCCCCATATTTAGCTTTTATACGATTCTATCGTGACAAGACTACTCCTGCAGTTAAAATTAAAACTGCCACAAAATTATATGGGAAACAATCCTGTGTAGTCTTATTCACAGTTAACCTAACACAGTTAATTGTAAATTAAACCAGAACTAAACTAAAGTTGGTGCTTCAGGAATACTATATCTACAACACCCTCTAGAAAGACAATCGTAAAGATTATGACCACAGTAATGAAAATGTAATAGTGACTATAAGAAGCTGTAAGTACAACTCACTGCTTAAGTATTAAACTATAACTTGAAGTGTACACATGAGAATGAAGCTTACCATTATTGGCTTGCCCTGAAAGGTTTTAACTTCTTCCCGTAAATATTTAAAAGCCTGTACAGATATAAAAATATTCACCGACAGATCAGTATAACAGAATTTTCAAAAACATTAAAGAACTTCCAGCATCAATTTCAAGCTGTACTAAAATATAAGCAACTCTACCACACTCTTGTTACTTTTGCAACATTTCAAACTTTGTCATATTTGTTAAAGTATTAAGGAAATATACACCACCCTCTTGCTTTCCCATATTTTTGAAACCATCTTTTCTCAAAAACCATGTGTGGATTTTTAAAAAGTTAAGGAATTCCTTTTATTTAAAGCTATGAATGACACCCCCAGAGATATAGACCTCTCTAGAACAATATACAGATAAACTATAAAACATCAGCTAGCTTACCTATAACTGTGATTCAATGTTATCGGTGTATTCAAATTAATGGATCGAAAAGTTCTGGAATTTTCTCTAGCTGAGCCATGGGAGATTATTAGCAAGCTTACCCCATGGCAAAGGAGGGGCAAAGCAAAGCACAACTCTGCCAAAGGAAGAACCAGCACTGGCTCTGAGACTGAGCACACAATGTCTCATGCAAGTGAATAGGAGACACCACGCTACATACTACAGATAAATTCTATAAATGGTCTGACATTTAGGCATGGTAAAGTAGAGTGACATTTCCTGTAACAGTCCTCTGAATGAAGTCGCTCTCAACACAAACCTGCTGGGGAGGTCTCTGTCTTGACTATACCTTTCAGATAAACACAAGTTGTTCTTGTTGGTGGAGGCTAGGGCTAGAGAAAGTGGTATCAAATGGATCAGTAGAACTGAGGCAACCATAGCAGTCATCCTGGGACAGGAAGAATTTCATTTGGACTTTCTGAAAATGTGTGCAGTGGCACATCTTCTGCCATTTATTGACCTCCTTACAATCACCAAGCTGCTTACAATCACTAAGCTGCTTAGCTTTTAGCTTTTTGAATACTGAAAGTAGAGGCAAGAGATTTTTTCCTGGGATGGCTGGTGTCACGGACTTTCAGGCAGGATTAAGCAGCGATTAAAGGGCTGCAGCCAGCACAGGCACTCCTTGCTAGGCTTGGGTAGGATGGCCCAAATGGAGGGCAGACAACTTAAGACTTCAAATGCGTTGCCATTTTACACGATTTTGGTGAAACTGGGAGTAGGTATGAATCCATGGAGGTTGGAACTCTGCAAACTAGGGACAGAGTCAAAATAATTGATTCCTACACACTTGTAATATGCAATGCTGATAATGAGCATGATTTCTCCAAAGCAAAACTAGCTGTCTGTGGAGGGGGGGGAGAGATAACCGAGAATCAGTTTAAACTACAGATGCTGACAAAGGTTATTCTGCTTGCTTTTAGAGAACGGAAGAAAAAGAAAGCTAAGAACAAAATCGTGTAAAATGGCAACGCATTTGAAGTCTTAAGTGAGCATGATTTCTCCAAAGCAAAACTAGCTGTCTGTGGAGGGGGGGGAGAGATAACCGAGAATCAGTTTAAACTACAGATGCTGACAAAGGTTATTCTGCTTGCTTTTAGAGAACGGAAGAAAAAGAAAGCTCAGACCAAAATGTAAAAAAAAAAAAAAATTCATCCAAAGTCCCTAGAACAACAAAAAACAGAATTTTGGTGAACATGTGTGTGCATACATACATATACACACACACAACTTTTCAACTAAACTAGAGAAAATTCCAGAATGAGATTCCATACAGGCCTAAACCCATTAGTAAGATTCAAAGAAAGTACAAAAAACAACTGGTCACATCAAATAAGATTTTGATATAGCAAAGAAATTTCCTAGAAATCTGAGTCCTAACCTTTCGGTTTAACAAAAGTCTCGATTTGGCCAACACTTCAAGTTCTAAACAATTTCATTTTCAAAACTGCAAATATCAGCACATCTGCAGAGTTGCAGGAATCTTATGAAGGTACTTTGAAGACCAGCTTTCTACACAATGCTGAATTTATGTTCAGGCAATACATCTGAACTTGGGAAAAGTTCTAAAATTAGATGTGCCTGTTTAACAGAAGGACTTCTATCAAGAGCAGAAGAACAAGCTATTAAGTTTGTGTCTTCCAACTGCAGTCTTTGGACAACAAAAGGACTTCTTGCCACTGAAGAGACTGAACACCAAAACATCATTTCCAGTTTCTTTCAGATCACCTACATGAGAACATGCTTGAAGGAGAAGGCAGCAAGAACATGTTTGCTTACATGCTATTAGATAAGAGTAGATCATGCTATTCCACACACTCATACTTGAAAGCAATTTTTCCATATACTTTATTAACTTCCTGGTGATATAACTTCCCTTTGCCTAAGTTTCTGGATTTATAAACATAATCTACATTTATTAGATTGATGTATTTAAAATCAGGAATTCCAAACTGCTTTGACTTATCTGAGTCACTGGAAAAAGGTATAATTCATTAATACAATGAAATTTAGAACACAAGACATTCTTACCTGCTGCGCGTCAGTATCTGACTGGAATGTAACGTACCAGTTGTTATTGTGAGCAAATTCACAACTTATAACTTTGGGGCAGCTTTCGTTCTTAAACAGTGCTTTTACCTCCTGGATTAAATTATATAAAGACTATTTCAGTGAAATAAAACCATTATGTTAATAAAAAAAAAGAATCCTATCCATGCTGGAGGGGATTTTAATTTCTGCAACAACAGTTTGAAAATTATTGTTTTTATTTTAGCTTCCAAACAATGGCTAATATTAAGCATGTAAAATCATTCTCTGATTTTCCAACTCAAATTGCCTGGCAAATTAAGCAATTTTTTTCCTAAAAAACATTATATTCATAGCTAAGAAAAAGTCATTCTTTTTTACAACTAGCAATACTAACTTTTTTTTTTTTTTAAAGCCACTGTGTGAGGACTCTTGCTATAAGAATGTAAATGATACAGGTATTTAAAAGCATAATCATTGCCAAATATTCCTATTCCCTCACATCTAGCTCAAAACGAAGAGTAATGTTCAACCGCATTATCATTTCTCAGTAGCAAACTTGCATCAAACATAAACGCTACTTTAGCCCAGCAGTTATTATCCTGCAAATGAACTTATTTTCATATTGTCATATTTGTAATAAATCTCAAAAGATATTTCTTACCTCTACTGGTGTGGTTTCAGAGATCTCACGAAGAATAATAATGCAACGCTTATGATTTGGTCTAACTTTCTCTCCTTGGTCATCCACTTGGACTATAGGAGAAGCTAAATTAAACAGAACTCTGTTTATTGAAAACACACTGAAAAAGCATACTGAAAATCTTTCTTCAAATTTCAGCTTAGCCTAAAATGATATGGTTACTTGGTCACTGCTCAGTACTCAATGCACACAACTCTGCTCATTCTTCTGTTAGTGTGTCATTATCTGGCACAACAGTTTTAATGTATGCCAGCTAAAATACTATTCCATATTTATCAAGATGATACTCAATACTGATGAAAATTTCAGGTGTGTTTTAGAAAATACATCTTTAGTGAACTAGACAGGTAGACCTCACTTAATGATTGCCTTGTTCAGCAACTGTTCAAAGTTATGATAGCGGTGAAAAAAATAACTTTACAACCAATGCCCACATTTATGACCTTTGTAGCATGCCTCAGTCACATGATTGCCATTATAGTCAGTACACACTGTCCTGTAACTGACCTGTTTTTATTTTTCCTCCTTGCAGAGCAGAGAGATTGGTGAGGAAGGGATTACAAGAGAGTAGGCAGGCACACAACGAGGAATGTACATCAAAAGGAATGCCCTAGCACTGGCAGGGAGCATGCTATGCAAACAGCCCAGTGTATTCCCCATTGTGCGTCTGCAAGGGGGAGGGGGGAAATAAAAACAGGTCAGGCGCAGGAGAACATGTACTGACTATAATGGCAATCACATCACTAAGGCATGCTGTGGGGGGGGGACAGAAAAAATGGGTCCGGCATAAGAGAGATTGCCTAGAGATCACTTGTCCCCCCCTCCCGCAGAGCAGAGAGACTGCTTAAACAAGCAAAGTGGGGGGGGGGGAACAAGTGATCTCTAGGCAATCTCTCTTGTGCCCGACCTGTTTTTTGGTAATCCCTTTCTCTCCAATAAATGTAAATACAAACATTAATTCCCTTCTTGCTAGTTATCCCAGCACCAGGGTGAGCATTCCAAAGGGTGGGGGAGTGGCAAAAAGGAAAGCACAGTTGTGGTCATGTGATTTCCCACCTAGTGACCTCTTCACTTAATGACTGAGATGCCGGTCCTAACTGCAGTTGCTAAACGAAGACTACCTGTAAAGGTAATTCTTGCTTAACAACCACAATTGGGACTGGAATTTCCATCGGTAAGCAATGCAGTTGCAAAGCGAGACATCACATGACTGCATCACTTAGTGACCATAATCCCAGTAGTCCTGTTGCCATTGTTAACTGAGAATCGCAGGTTGTTAAGCGAGTACCCAATCCAAGCCATTACAGGTTGGGTCCCTCCCAGCCCTAAGCCTCAGTAAGGTATGCCTCCTACTCCCCCCACCCATCCCCCCCCCCCGCCCTTCTGGCTGCCCTGTACGGCTCTGGGGCTGCTTGCCACACCCCGGGAAGCTGCAGTTGCCCCAGCCCAGTCCCAGCCATCCACAGCATCCTACACTACAAGATCCCTGCTGCCCTGCTCTCCACTGACCCAGCTGACTTTCACCATCTTCTTGCTCCAAAAAACCCCTTTGCAAAAAGCTCCTGGGCAGGGCTGTGCTGGGCTTTACTTCGTGCTGCAGAAAGAAAAAAAAAGGACCACATTCTTCCCTCCCTCTCCTCTTTTCTTCTTCCCTTGCAGGTAGACTGGGCTCTCGTAGCCCCCTTCGACCCTCTCCTTTCCGCTTTCTGTGGGTAGACCAGCCTTCCTTCTCAGGAAGGCAAATAGACTGGTCCCATCTTCAGCCGCTACATAGACTGGGCCAGCCTTAACTCTCTGGACCTAAAGCTATTTATCCTTAGCCCTCTGAAGTGGCTTTCCAAAAAGCTTCTGGAGTGCAGCATGCTAAAAAGCTTTAGCTCCAGAGGGCTAATGCTTTCCTGGTCTACCCAGTGGCCAAAGGCAGGTCTACCCATAGAAAATGTAAAGGAGAAGGTCAAGGGGGGCCATGAAGACCTGGTCTACCTGCCTATCATGGCCAGAGGACCAAAGGGTCCTGGGAGCCACCCGGTCTACCTGCAGGGGGAGAAAAAAAAAAGAGGAGAGGGAGGGAATAAGGGTGTGTGTCAGAGTCTGCACACTCATTCCCAAAGTTCAGTAAATCTTCTGGAGTCTGATTAGTGCCGAACAAGGAGCTGTCTTTTTTTTTTTTTTTTTTTTTGCAGTAGAAAGCAAAAGCCCACCCCAGCCCAGCCCAAAAACTTTTTGCAAAGGGGCCTTTTGCCACTGTGCCCCTTTTTTTTTTTTTTTTTTTTTTTGCAGTAGAAAGCAAAAGCCCACCCCAGCCCAGCCCAAAAACTTTTTGCAAAGGGGCCTTTTGCCACTGTGCCCCTTTTTTTTTTTTTTTTTTTTTTTGCAGTAGAAAGCAAAAGCCCACCCCAGCCCAGCCCAAAAACTTTTTGCAAAGGGGCCTTTTGCCACTGTGCCCCTTTTTTTTTTTTTTTTTTTTTTTAAACAGCACGAAGCAAAAGCCCAGCCCAGGAGGTTTTTGGAGCAAGAAGAGAAAGGTCAGCTGGGGCGATGGAGCGCAGGGTGGCAGGGGGCCAAGAGAGCACAGATGGGAGGGAGATAGGCAGGTGGGGGGATTTGAAGCACCCCTGTGGTTTTAAGTTGGGTAGGCTGCCAAGCACCTGAATTTTGATCACGTGACTGCTGCAACAGCCATAACTTCAGGCATGGACCGTAAGTCCATTTTTTCAGCATCATAATTTTGAACGGTCACTGAACAAATGATTGTTAAACAAGGACTACCTGTATACCCATTTCTATGTGATAACAAGGTCAAGACAACAGATTCATACAGAATAATTCTATATAATTCATATAGATATATAATTCATACAGAAATGAGATATAAGCCATATACAGGTAAAAGTAACAGTAAAACAAATTCAGTATTTTTCACATACATCTTAGTACTTCCACAATAAGATCCATATTGGTTGTCAGTTTCTTAATTCCTTCCATATTGGCAATAGTCCATATTGGAATAAATTGATCACTGTCCATCTGAGACATCAAGTAAAGATCCTTGGATAGATTCTCACTAGAAATAAAGTCAATAAGCATTTTAGGGAACTTTTTAAAAAATAAGTACTATTTTCTTTTCAAAAGAAATTAAAGCTACTAACCCCAGAAACAGTTAAATAGTTAATAATACAACCCAGCTACCTTTAAAGGATATGCTATTTCTACACAAAATCCTAATCATATTCCCAAATTAAAGGATTACTGTAGCAATACTGTCTGATATTATTATTATTGAAAAATAGTTTCAGATCTAGGATGTAAAAGTAGATAGCAGTAAAGATTTACAGTTTATGTATTTCTTTACTACCACTTCATATCATCCAGATTGTTTTGGTAAGCATTTATTTATCAGCCAGTATCACTGCTGACTGGCTTACAGCAAAACCTCATTTTAGCAAAATAACTGGATGGAGAGGGTGTCCATTGTTTCCCTGAATCAAGTATATTAAAGAGTACATCACTGCAGCAACAAACATGATGCATTTTAGGTCAATAATGATTGTGAAATTATGCAAATGACATAATTTGCATCATTTGTGTTATGTCATCATTACACCAATTATGTACATTGCAATGGAATTTGGACTGTTCCATGTGAACCCCACTGCATCACAGTCCAGCAAATTGAGGTTTTACTGTACTTGGAACATCTCTTACAACTTTTAGAACAAAAGTGTTTACATAATTGCCCCTAAGGAAGCCTGAACAGTTATTAGAAAAATAAACTAATTCTCCATTTTATTTCAGTTTGACTTTGCAACCATATCCAGATCTTATCCAGAGACATCTATCATTAGATTTTCAAATTAATTCCTTATAAAATGTCCACAAAGCATGCCAGATGTTTTTATTTAGCTCAAACTAACCTTATTTATATAATACTATAAGCAAAAGGTACAATACCGTGAGAAACAGAACTCTAATTGTTTCTTCAAGCATTCTTTTAAATCTTCTGTAGAAATGACAGGGTTGCCTTCACCTGAGAAAGAAATTCAAAGAATATGTTAACCAGGAACTTAGATTCAGTTTTTACTCCCACTGACAGAAAGCAAGGCAACTTTTTAAACCCATTTTCCTCCCCAGCTCCTAACACCCTTCTGGGAACATGGTGTGAAAGATTAGGGAATTCTTAGAAATTAGGACCTTTGGAATAATTGGATATTACTTCCTTTCCCCTTTCATCAGTGTTGGATCAAAAGATATCAATAGCCAAAAAAGTCATTTTCTTCACGGAAGGCAGGTGGGACAGCAGTAGGGCAGATTTATCAAGAGTGCCATACTTCACAAATGATAAGCTACTACAGCATCTCCCAATGCCTTGGCTATATTAAGTTCTTTGTAACTGCATCTAGAAACTGTTGTTGCTTCTTTTTTAACTTTATTAATTATATAACACTGTTTTGTAGTATTTATGCTACAGTGTTATCTGGAAACTATGCTTCTCAAACTGCATTCTTTTTGCAGCCACACTGCACTACTCATACTCAGTTTCCAACCAACAACTATTCCAAGGTCTTTTTTCACAACTATTATTATGAATCCAAGTATTTCTTATCATATACTATAGTTTTGTTTCTTAAGAGAAGAAGTCAGCATCTGTCTTAAGTTTCATTCTAAATACTATCTGTGATGACACGAACATTGCCAAACAGTCTTGACAGAAATAACCAAATAAATAAAAGTACTTCTACCATGGCTACCTTCAAGTACATATAATATTGCATGACCTGGTTAAAATAACAACACTGATGTTCATATGGATATTTTTCATGAAAATGTGTAGTTCTTTCTGGAGTCTCAGAAAAATTTTTTGAAGTCCCACTGCTAATTGTCCTCTGAATAACTACTAAATGTAATATATTATGCCCTTCTGTGCTATCTTTCTTCCAGGTTCTACCAAAATATTAAGGCCTGCAGAATCAAGAATCAATCATAGCATTATCATTTTAAAAGACAACCATACCATGTGAATGTAACAAAACAAAACAAAAACGTATCACCACTATCCAAGCTCTGAGACACTGACAATCTCATGCACTATTGGTAGTCCTCAAATTACAAACTACAACCATTCATTCACTGACCATTCAAAGTTACGAAGGTGCTGAAAAAGGAGACTTATGACCAGTCCTCAAAGTTGCAGCTGTCCCAGCACCCCCACAGTCACATGAACATGATATGGGTGCTTGGCAACCCATTTGCAGTTATAACCGGTTGCCAAGCATCCCACGATGACATGATAACCATTTGCAACCTTCCATGTCAGCTTCCCTAGAAAGTCAAAGGGGAAGCCGACAGCAAAGATCACGTTGCTGGGGTAAGTCTCCCCCACCCATGCACCCTCTCCCAGCCCCTCTGCACTCACGCCGGCAACTCATGCACTCCCGTGCACCCTTCCTGACCCACACCCCCTACACTCTCCCCAACCCGATAGCAACCCGGTGGCACCTCACACTCCCCCACACACCCTCCCCAACCCATGCGGCACCTGTTGCACACCCCCATGTTGCCTCCCTGAAACTCCCCCACCCAGCAGCACCCACTTACTTGCCTGTGGGTCTGGGACTTGCAACTTCCTGCCGGCTTCCCCACTGACTTTGATGGTGGGAAGCTAGCAGGAAGTTGCCTCACATAACAACCATGGGTTTCAGTTAACGACAGCAACCAGGACTGCAGGGATTGCCGTCACTAAGCAATATGGTCATGCTTTACAACCACTCCACCTAGTGATGGAAATTCTAGTCCCAATTGCCATCGTAAGTCGAAGACTACCTGTACACATAACTGGTACTGAGGGTATACATGGGGCGTATATATTATTCAGAACCTATGTAACAGATATTGCATATTTAACCTATGCAATCTGAATAGCTAACAAACATTTCGTAGCTACCTCTAGTTTTAAGGACAGGTTTTCACAACATAGGTTGTTTACCTGAAACATCATAAAGTGGATATCCAAGTTCCTCATGTGCTAAGACCATGCCATTAGCAGCTGATTCCTCAGCACACGAACTATTTCTTGACAATTCACAAGATGAATACATTGCTTCATACTGTTTAGTACAATCCTCTGCAGCCTCAGCATTGCCTGAAAGAGTACAAGAGCAATTAATGGAAAATAAAGTCAGGTGGCATCCCATTCTTATGAACAAAGCTAATGTTTGAGAATTTCTAAAGATACAAGGTTTTAAAAAGCTACACTTAAATACCGAAGTCTCATTTTATATATATAAAGATTTAGATGTATAGATATATAATTTTTCTTCTATTCCTAGTAGACTAACTTGATGCATCCACAAATTTTGGCTCTTTTTTCTTCGGTGAATACATCAAGGCAACTTGGAGAGAAGTTAATCAGCTGGTGAAACTACAGAAGGGTGTGGAGATTAAGGATAAGACTTGGCTACTTAAAGAATACAAGGGCCTGACTCCATCTGAAGCCCCAGAGACTGCTAAACAAAGGCTCACACCACTGGATACCAGGCTAAGGAGATATACTAGAGAAGCAGAGGCCAAGAAATGCCCTGTTCTCCAAAGAACCATCCAAGGTGTACTCCCACCTGCAGTGCAACAACACACTAACAGCAGAGCCACCAACAGCAGAAACAGAACAGTACAGGAAGAACATATGGGAGAAAGAGAAGACACATAACACCAGTGCAAAGTGGCTACAGGACCTCAGAGCAGACCACAGCAATCTCTCAGAACAGGAACCATCAGCATCACAGTAGCAGACATCCAACAGTGGCTCAAGAACTTGAAGAGCTGGACAGCACCTGGCCTGGACATGATCTACACCTACTGGCTAAAGAAACTAACAGCAGTGCATGAATGTCTAGCAGCACGGATGAACCAGCTGCTAGCAGCAGGCTCCCACCCAGACTGGCTAACACAAGGAAGCACAGTGCTGATCATGAAGACCCCCACAAGGGAACAGCACCATCCAACTACCAGCCAATAACCTGCCTCACCACAATGCCACATTGAGTCATAGGCTTTCCTGTAGTCAGTCCAGGCTGTGCTCAGATTGGTTTGTCTAGACCTTGAGTCTCATGTGACTGCTCTCTCTATGAGCAACTGGTGTTTTGAGCCTCTGGTGTTGTTCCCAGTGCCCTTCTGAACTTTGCTCATGTACTGGCCCATATGGTCCTGTAGCTTGGTGGCTATGATGCCTGATAGAACTTTCCATGTTGTGGTAAGGCAGGTTATTGGCTGGTAGTTGGACGGTGCTGTTCCCTTGTGGGGGTCTTCATGATCGGCAGGGGTCAGGTGAGTGTCAAAGCCACTGTCCTGGATGAAACCCTGAGCATCCAAGAGTACATCACTAAGATAGCATCCAAAGATGAACTGTTGAGAGAATGCCTGAGGCAGTAGCCGACATGGGAGGAAGTTGAAGAAGAGGAAAAGCCATGGCAAGACTAAACCCTGCATGGGATGTACTGTCAACAGATAGCTGAGGTGACTGACATTGGGAAATCCTACCAGTGGCTGGACCGGGCTGGACTAAAAGACAGCACTGAGAAACTGATCATAGTAGCACAAGAACAGGCACTAAGCACCAGATCCATAGAAGCAGGGGTATACCACACTAGACAGGACCCAAGGTACAGACTGTGCAGAGAGGTCTCAGAGACAGTCCAACACATAGTGGCAGGATGTAAGATGAACCACAAGAAAGGAACAGCATACACCGAACAGCACGACCAAATAGCTGGCATTGTGTACAGGAATATCTGCACAGTGTATGGGCTAGACTCTCCTAAGTCCAGATGGGAGATTCCACAGAAGGTTGTGGAAAACAACAGGGCTAAGATCCTGTGGGACTTCCAGATCCAGATGGACAGGCAGGTACTGGCCAATCAACCAGACATTGTGGTAGTAGACAAGAACCAGAAGACAGTGGTGGTGATAGATGTAGCAGTGCCAAGTGACAGCAACATCAGGAAGAAGGAGTGTAAGAAGCTGGAGAAGTACCAGGGCTTGAAGGAGTAACCAGAGAGGATGTGGAAAGTAAAGGTCAAAGTGGCCCCAGTGGTGGTAGGAGTACTTGGGGCTGTGACTCCTAAGCTGGGAGAGTGGCTCCAACTGATCTCAGGAACACATCAGAGCTCTCTGTCCAGAAAAGTGCAGTGCTAGGAACAGCTAAGATACTGCGCAGAACCCTCAAATTCCCAGGCCTCTGGTAGAGGACCCAAGACCGAGGAAGACACGTATCAGCCATAGGTGAGAGAGGATTAAAAAAAAAAAAATCTTCTATTCCTAGTAGGCTAACTTAACTTGGACGCATCCACAAATTTTGGCTCTTTTTTCTTCACTGAATGTACCGTATTTTTCCAACTATAAGATGATACTTTTTTCTAAAATCCTTACCCTAAAAAC